GTCTCCAGGGTCGCCGTGCGATGCCACGTCGGTAAATAAAATGGCGAAATCAGGACTTACAATCAGCCGAAAGCGTTCAATCTCGCACCTTGCGGAACAATAGCGCGCTGCGATAGATTGAAATTTTAATTGAATTTTCATACCGCGCAGCTCCATGCCGGTAAAGGCAGCAATCGAGCTGCTTGAGTCGATCATAGAATTGTGAAATTGCAGTTTCATGATCGTGCAATATGTATTTTAAATCGTATCGTCGTATTCTGTTTCGATTACACGTGACTTTTCAAGGGCTGATGATTCATGGCTGATTAATTGCGCGGTCCGTTATTAAGGGATGGCTATCGACTTTGTTTCTAATTGAGTTTCTAATTTCGACGTTTAAAGATTACGATGTTTAAGATTAGGGCTCGCTATTATACGTTTAAACGAAAATACCTTTACACGTATAATTAGTATATCCGTTTATTAGAAACGTTTTTCCGAATATACGTGTAATTAACTATTATATGTTTAAACGAAAACACGTTTACACGTATAATTAGCATATCCATTTATTAGAATCGTTTTTTCGAATATTTTCTTTTTTTATATAACTTTTTTTATATAAACGTTTATCCCTTTATTAAGGAGTGTGACGAATTGAGCTAAAATGCAAAAAATTCGATTTTTAATTTTATTAAAAAACGTTAAAATATTCGAAAAGATGTTTTTCATAGATGGATATGTTAAATATACATGTAAATATATTTTCGTTTAAATGTATATTCGGAAAAATGTTTCTTTTATAAACGGATATGCTAATTAAACGTGTAAATGGTTACCTTCAAATAAACGCTTTTTTGAAAACGAATATAAAGGGATAAACGTTTTACGTTTACACGTTCTTCGAAAAACGGAATAAAATTAGAGCCCTATTTAAGATACTTAGACCCGGTTTTTCATTATCTATATATTAACTTGTGGTTAATCTTAATCTGATGTTTTACTCAATGAGCTTCATTCATGACATCGTCATAGATGAAGTCTGTTGGATAAAACATCAGGTTAAGTTTAATCATAAGTTAACCAGCTAATGAAAAATCAGGCCTTATTCTTGTATATGGCCTACATCTTGTAGTTTATCTTACAATTAAATTTATGAATTGTACATTTTCGAATGAGTAAAAAAATTTTATTCATTTTTGGTCCAACGAATGATCGTCAATGTCCGACTTAATGTCCGACTTAATGTAGTTAACTCATTGATACAATAATTGGATGCATTTATGTAACTATATATTCATTCTAGTAATAGTTTTATAATCTAAATCATTACAAGAATTTATTGGATCAATTTTCACTATTTTTTCATAATTCAATGAATATTTTATTGTATTTACGTACAGTTTTGGTTTAGTGAAGGTCAATTAAATTAGTGCCTAATAATATTGACCGTTGATTTATTAAGGACATACGATAATAATAATAATAATAATAATTATAAATATCACTACATGCTTCAGTGGTTAAATAGGAAAAGACGCTTCTTCCGGATAGTCGAGAGATTCTAATCCTGAAGTAATATTTTTTTACGTAATAAGTTTTTTACAAGTTTTTAAGATGTTAGTAGCATCATTATCAAATCGACGCTGAATTTAAAATTGTGATATTATTTAGATACAATTTATGATTGCGTTTTAAATCGACAGTAAACGGCGCATAGTTTATAACTGAAAGATGTTTAAAATTTACATTTAAAAATATTATCTTTGATATATTAGCGCCCTCTTTCCCATAGTGTCAATTTAAGGTGAGTCGCCACTGCTCCTACTCTCAATTACATCATTATTTTAAAAATGTAATTATCTAAAACAATGATTATATTTGACACTATACAATGTCAATTTGACATTATATAGTGTCAAATTGACACGCTATAGTGTCAAATTTAATTATCGTTTTATAGTATAAAATAACGATATATTTAGTAGGAGCAGTGGCGATTCACACTAGGTTAAATTTGACACTATAGATTTAACAGTGTATTTGATTTATTAGTATAGCGGTCTAGAATATCTTATTATTATACATTTTCATTCTTAACCCTCCGGAGCTGATGCCAAACTCTGTAACACAGTTACTGACGCTATATCTGTAAGATCCACATAATTCGTGTTAATTAAAAAGCACACTAATCAATTTCAAGAAACCGAAACGACATAACTTAAAAAAGAATAAACGACTAATTGCAAGTATATTTTTATAAAAATAATCCAAATTTGCAGATGTAACATAAAGAAAATTTAATTGTTTGATAAAGAGACTTATAAGTGAGTCCATTAGATGCACCATTAACTCCAGACTAATAGCGATTAGAGAAGGATAGAAAATGTCATTTCTTCGGTTCTGCGAATAAAGTCGTGATACGGTGGATTTGTGGATCTTTGCGTGAAATACGAAATACCCTTGAGAGTTGCTCGTAATATCTAGTAAGCAAGGAGATACCTAACCTTGCTAACCGTGAAAACCTAATCATTTTAATCCTCTGTGTTACAGCTTTCTCGTCACTAATTCTCATTTCACAGATTGCATGAAAATTATTCACACCGCATATGTGAGTTCAAATTGTAAACAGTCGTAACGTTACATTTACAACTTCTGTGATTCTCTTCAATTACCACAAATTTAATTCTGAGATAAGCTACAAGATGAATAAGTCTTTAAGCCCATAGCACACAGAAAAACATAAAGCAGTAAAACGTAAACAGTAAGCGAATTGGTCAATCACAGTAGAGAACGTAAGGCAATGTAAACAGTACATGAAAAAAGAAACGATTTTGTTAGAATATTTGGAAAATTTAGCTATATATGGATTTAAAAATAATTTTGTTGGATCAAAATAACAAGCATGATGAGCAATGTTGAAAAGTTTTGACATTCTAGCAACTAGTTTAGGCATCATACGTATATATGTATTTTGATGGTTCAACAAAATTATTTTCAGATCTATATTTAGCTAAATTTTTAGATGTTTTACAATCGTTCTTTTCGGGCAAAATCCAAAATGTTGATTTGCTTACTGCTTACGTCTTAGTGCTTTAATTATTTTGGGTGCCATAACCTTTAAACGCAGAAACGCAAGCAAATACGAAATTCGGTTAGTAGTTATCCCCTAATAACGGATCGCGCACTTAATTGAGCTTGAATCATCAGCCCTTGAAAAGTCACGCAGCAGACAGGTGGATTTCAAAACGAGCTCATCGATATTGCACGATAACGCAAATCCCAATTATCATCGCTCTATCGATGTATCGTGCCGATACTAATAAATTAAGGCGCGCTTGTGAAAAAATATCGATCGACATTTTCGGGATATTTACCGGTTTAATTGTCATCATTTATTATGTCACAATGTCAGTCAGCCAAATTTGCCTTGACACAGTTTGTCAGGTTATTAGATTTCTAGGAATACGAAACGATACGAACGAGCTATGTATATATTTAGCATGCAAATAAGGCATAACGGACAATGAAAAGCTGATGAAACGCGATAAATCGCTCACACACAATTTCCATATTGTCGAAATTTTCCACGTACTTAGGAACATTTTACCATGTCTCTAAAAAAAAAGTCGAATGTTTACGGTTTGCTAATTGTAATAGATAATTATCGTTGATGCTTTTTGAGATAGGTGTATATTTTTAGCTGGAAATAATTATGGTGAAAGGTACTGATATAGACACGTACCTTAATATATTAATACTGCGTTAGCAGTGCGGTAGGACATCCGAAAAGTGCAATGCGTCGCATGAGCACTATCACCTTACACTATCACTGCGTTGGCACTGCCATAAATGCATCATCGTACTACCATGTATCAGCAATTCCGAAACGTTCATTAATATGCATATCGAAATGCCGTGAGATCCATGTTACTACTGATATTTCTAGTACTACTATAGATAAACCGTTGGTCATAGTTCAATATGACAGGAACTATAGAGAATTGATATTATACATTTCCCCTATATACCGACATTCCGAAATGCTATATTTTATAGCGTTGCCGCTGCTATAGTCGCACCCTTATACCAGCGTTTCTTCAACCCTCGCCCCAGCATTTTTCGACAGAATCCGAGAACCGACGTCAGCCTCACCGCACCAATTAACGTTCCGTCTAAATCGCGAAGAAAATCGCTACTACGATGGTCTGGGCGCAAACCTGACTCCCGGGGGGCTTCGCGCGCTGATAATTGGAAGCGCACGAGTCATCCCCCCGAGAACATGCACATGTCACGATCGTAATGCATCTCGCGCCTTTTCGACGACGACGCCGGGTGTTAGGAGATATGACGTGACCCGATCGAATGGTCCACTTTTCGCATCGCTAAGCCTCCACTCCCGTGGTCGATATTTATTGCGCCTCGGCCGAGGCCGAGGCTCGCAACTGCACCGAAGAAACCGACTCGATCGTTTCGCGTCCCTTGGGCCAACTGTTAATCGGCCTCGAGGAGAAAACGCGCGTTCTCTCTCTCTCTCTCTCCTCTCTCTCTCTCTCTCTTGCCCGCCGTTCGGCTAAAAATCGCCTCCTCCTCTCCCTACTCTCCCCGGCTCTCGATCGACCCACGCCGATTTAACAGCCGCCACGAAGGAGAGACGATCGCAGCACGACGTTCCTGGTAATGTCGCGCCACTGACGGTCGTCCGTTTTCGAGGACATGGACTCGCTTGCCATTGTCATCGTCCTCGTCCTCGTCTTGGTCATCGTCGTCATCGTGGTCACCGTCGTCGTCGAGCAGACAATTCACTACGGCGTTTCCGCGAAGAGGCCACTCTCGCGGATGATCGCATTACGAGAGGAAGGGAGAGCGACTGCCAGGGAGAAAGGAGAGTGCACGACGGGGTACGACACGGCGAGTATTTCCCTCCCCTATCCTACCGTCGCGTCATCCCGTTGGTTCGACGCTGCTTCGACCATCACCTCGGCATCGAGCAATGAAATGTCACAAACTCTACTACTCACTCGACGAGTCAGGGCAGTGGAGCTTCATGAATGCGTCTCGCAGTACGTATCAGGCCATCGGAGCACGGCCGAACTCGCGGCCCTTCTTCCACAGCTTCGAGTCTAAAGCCACCGTCCGCACCGATATGCCGTTAAGGCAGCACCGCGCGCGCACATACCACCAGCAGCAACACCGCCGCTATCGCTGCTGCTGCCGCCGCCGTCGCCGCCGCCGTCGCCGCCGCCGCCGTTGTCGTCGTCGTCGTCACCACCACCATCACCACGATCACCACCTCCACCGCCGCCGTTGCTGCTACGTCGAGCATATTTCTGCGGGGGTAGGAGATGCAGGAGGAAGAGATAGAAACATAAACGAGCTAAACGAGGATAGAACGTTAGATGGTAGGGAGAATGCGAGCACAGCGTTTGCGCGAGAGAGTAGAGCGGCAACGAGTGGGTCAGAGGGGCCAGCGCGCGGAAAACATGCGCGCGAAAAAGAGAAGCGCGAGAGGACAGCTAAAGGGTCGAAGCGAGAAGGACCTAATCCGTATGGAGGGGAACGGTCGGGGAACCCGTTGGTGGTGCACCAGACCCCTCCGCCGATGCTGTACGTATATACGTGGGTGTTTGTACGGTATCTATGTATACGCATGTGTGAAAGGATGTACGCGTGTCTGACTGTGGTTGTCTCCTACTCGCGCGCTCCCTCTCGCTTGAGGTGCGTTGGGGGAGTCACGGCTGAGGAAGTCCTCTGTGTACAAACGCATATTCGTAATTTCGTATATTATGTATATACCAACAAACCAGAGAGGGCGAGAAAGGGATGAGGAAGAGTAACCAAAAATGCGTGGCTTCCCTTCCTTTTTCTTCATCTTTCTGCGGAAATTCTGTTGCCTCTTATCGCTACTAAAATTGCGAACCATCCGCTCGCGTAACCGCTCGCCTCGTTGTTTCCCGCATTCTCGACCGCACCCTCTCCGCTGGTCGCTTTCCCCGGTCATCCTATCCACCTTGTCGGAGAGGGTTGCGCGCGACCGATCGTCAGCGGAGATAGCCGAAGGTGAACGAGCGCGCGAGAGTGGTGGCTGGATACCGGGTGAAGACCGAGGTCGTCGCGGATGCGCTCGCTCACAGGGGTGAGTTTTGAGTTCCATGTACTGTTCGATGTTGGAGCCAAGTTTCAGACCGGCCCTCGTAAACTCCAGCTATTGTCCTTCCAGTCATTGGGCAGGCCCCGGTTAGGGATGGGCGCTACGAATAACTAATATTGAGGTCGATAGGACTGCTTCACGAGTTGCGAACTTTACTCAAAGTGCATATAATGGAAATCGAACCAAGAACATCGATGGTTTCAATCGGAGATGACGATATAAGTCTACAGTTTGCGCATCTAGCGTATAACATATTTGGTTTAATTGAAGTATCTATTTTCCAGCGGGTATATCGTTGATGTGTCTTAGGAACCCTACAACTCAACAACGCTTGAAAGTCTTCAACGCGTACACCCCGCGCACCTCTTCTGCCTTTCTCGCTTCCGTCTTTTCCCTCGTTCGACTTCAATTTCAGCGCGAGTCGTCTTTTCATTCCTCCCTTCATCTCCTTGCCAACGCGACGCTTCTCGGCA